ATCAACTTAGTAGGTGTTTCGATGATAGAATCAGTAGCCCACGTCACTACAGTACTAAACGTATATACTATGGTGAAAACGTGGCGCCTGCACAGGAACTCGTAACTTTGGCACAGTAATCGAGAACTCTGAACCATTATCTTGCAGTGTTGTTTTACCAGAACGATGCAAAAACCTCTTTAGAAGTCAGATTTTGACGTCGTCAGTAAACGCACGTTAAGCCGCTTTAATATATTTTAAAATAATCTGTGATAAGATGATATGGTGATCTGAGATCTGAGTTACCCGCAAACGTCAACGAAACAAGCCGAAAACATCGTCTGCACTGCGTAATTTGTTGACGACATCGCGACAAGTGAACACGCTGTCCAAGAGGGGCAAGAGGGGCACACGCTGTCTACGCACAGCAAGTGTACGCTTGCTTATGACGACAGGATGTGCGCGTACCCGTGAGCAGTTGGGGTAGATGTAAACCTATATAACCTGTTACGTTTGCGTGACAGTGGCATGTGCGCGCTCAATCTCTCTCTCTCTCTCTCTCTCTCTCTCTCTCTCTCTCTCTCTCACCCTGTCTCTCATTGTGCATGTGTCTCTATGTCTATCTCCCGTCTTCTGTATCTCGCTCCCTTTCTGTCTGTCTCTCCTCTGTCACTCACCCTTTCTCCCCCCTCTCTCTCTCTCTCTCTCTCTCTCTCTATCTCTGTCTCTCTCTGTCTCTCTCTCTCTATTTCCCTCTCTTCCTCTATTTCTTTCTTTCTCTGCATATCTCCCACTCCCTCGCAGTCTATCTATTCTCACATTCTCTCCCTCTTCTTCTCTCGCCCTCTCTCCCTCTCTTTATTTCTCTCTATTTCTCTCTCTCATACAGGCGGAAGTTTGCCCAGCTTGCTGATTCTGAATCAGCGAGACTGCGACATGTTTTTAAATCCGTTTTTTCATATTTGCTCAGCGGCTCGCGGTCGTTGCCTTCCGAACCGCGACCGGGCATAATATTATAGGCGACGCTTATTCGAACGTCGTCATGACAACCGCCAAACAAGTGACCACTCCGCCAGGGCGATTTAATCACGCCCCTTTCGAATATTGTTTCTACGACGTGCAAGCTAGTTAAGTTGACACGTGAATTTTCCCGCCGCACGCCGAAATATCAACACTGCGACCCTTCGACCGCAACAATGATTGGGCTAGAGCTACCTGTCAATCATTTGAGGTAAATGGATAAATTCTTTCGATCAACGAGCACGAACTATATCGACCGACGTGTTGTCGTCGGGGGCGGCGGTGCTGCGCCTACTGACGCTGCTGCTGCTGCTGCTGCTGCTGCTGGTGTTGTCGCCGCCACCGCCGCTGACACTGTCGTCGCCGCCATGCACTGCTGCTACTGTCGCCGCCGCTGCCGCTGCTACTGATTCCGCTACCGCTGTTACTGTCGCCGCCGCCGTTGCTGCGTGTGGCGGCAATCGTATGGCGGTGCAAACGATCTGTAGTCGGCGTCAATATTTGACTTGCCACCTTTGACGCTGGCAGGTAGAGGGGGAGGTAAGAGCGTGACGGCCAGCCCGCGCGCTGCGCATGCAGCGGCGAAACAGCGTGTCGCGACGGCTGCTGATATTCAGGATAAATATTTGCCGAGGCGAATTGATGCGCAATGCACACGGTAATGAACCCTCAAAAAAAATGCGATAGTTGTGCTCTCATCTGCCCAGCTTCCGGATGGACTTTATGTTTACTGTATACTGATCGTCATTACGCGCAGGCAACTATACGCATGATCTCTCATCACGATACCTTATCACCTAAATTACAGAGATCACGGATACCGCACGGCACCAGCAATAAACTAATACCTAATAACTAAATATAATTTACTAATAACTGCATTACCAATGATTAAAATTAATGGCTATAAACTAAACAAAAAAACTGAATTACCACTAAGCGGTTCTGGCTGCATGACAACATCCACGGTCACACGGTCATCGAGGTCTCTGCAGTGATGCTCAATTCAATTTTTTAATTCTCATTCAGAAGTGCGGCATTTCATTTTATTTGTAAATAAAAGCTCGCTTGAGATGTCTACAGTTCGCTGAGATGTGGCAGTTCCCATTCGATATTTTCCAAAATGTCTTGAATTTTTTGGCGCTGGAAGAAGTCAATATCATATCGACATACCGTCTTGCCGTGACGACTGAACGAGTTCGTAAAACGTTGACTCCCGATAAGTGAAATTATAATCGACCTTTATACATTCACATGCAGGGTTTTAATAACAAAAATAAAATATTACCACACGCGCTTGAAACCCGAATTCATCTCTCTCACAGCTTCCTCGTGGCTCGCCCATGGTTCTCTCATGGCTCGCCCATATGGCTCTCTCATGGCTCGCCCATGGCTCTCTCATGGCTCTCTTCTCTCGCGGCTTCCCCATCACGCTCACGTTATTATTTTCCTCAGCATTATAACCCCGACACGCCGTGAAGCGATCACCGTTACTCGGAAAGTACGATGACGAACATGAGCGAAACTTATGACTTCTTTTGCGTTGTAGCTGCAAGCGATGCCAGTCATTAAGGGAGATTGTACGGCCACCGAGTGTCCGGCTATATGCGCCGGCTGCGGAGGCAAGATCGTCGACCGATATTACCTGCTCGCCGTAGACAAGCAGTGGCACGTACAGTGTCTGACCTGCTGCGAATGCAAGGTCAGACTCGACTCCGAACTCACCTGCTTCTCGAAAGACGGCTCCATCTTCTGCAAGGAGGATTACTACAGGTGAGAGAGAGAGATAGAAAGAGAGAGCGAGAGAGAGAGAGAGAGAGAGAGAGAGCATGTAGCAGCGGACTCGCGCCTTGTGCGATATACTGCTCCCCGCGTGTCGTGTTTACCGATATAGCCTATGCGATATATAAATATAGTCAGGGTTGAATAATGACAAATTTAATGATGACATCATAATTAATAAAATTACATAATATTCATAATATACATTATACATAATAATTAACCAAATTAATTACATATATATCAGGAGTGTATAATAGGGATTAATCCCTATTATACACTCCTGATAT